CAAATCTTAAATACTCTCAAGTGTCACTAGCTCAAATAAAACTTGCAGAATTACTACGCGTCAATGATACCGCTATATTTTCAATACTTTATTGAATGTATATTTAGGACTATTTCAATATTTCGTTAAAAAAGAAACTTGTTATATTTTTATTATTATATAATACATATTATATTGAATAATTGTTTTTCAATATAATAATATTGAACGTAATAATATTAATAATTTTAATTAACATCTCAATAATAATAAATTTAGTATTATTAAGATATTATTAATTAACATTAATATTGTTGAGAATTAATAATAAATTATCAATATTAATATTAATTAATAATATATCAATAACAATAAATTTATTATTATTAAGATATTAATTAAAATTATTAATATCATTACCTTCAATATTATTATATTGAGAAACAATTATTCAATTATTATTGAGATATTATTAATTAATATTATTATTAATATTAATAATTTATTATTAATTCTCAATAATATTAATGTTAATTAATAATATATAATATTAATTAATAACGAATTGTTTTAATTATTTAATTTTTAAAAAAGTCTCAATAAATAATTACTTAATATATTGATTAGATTTATTTAATAATTATTATTTTCTAAAATAATGCAATTGCTTGTAATAATTATTTAATTTATAATGTGACAATAAATGATGAGATCCGCAGTCGGATCCGCCCCAGTACCGAGCCAGTACAGACTCAACATATCCGTCATTCTTCCGACGCCGCAGAAGAATAAGATCCGCCGGCGGAAGAAATCCAGTTCCGAGCCAGTACTGACAATAGTGGGAAGACGGTTCCGACAGTCGGAGCATAATCTGTACCGCGCCGGTTGCTTTTTCAGATCCGAATCGGTACAGACCGTCGGTACTTGCGGTCTGTACGGGCGCGGATCCCAGCCGGTTGTAAACTCCGACGTTCGTCCGACTTTTCCGCCTGGGTAAACGGATTGACCTGAAATTTTGGGAAAAATTCTAAAATACGATAAAGATTAGCGGCCAAAGTTGAATAAGTTTTGTAATTATTCTTTTTTTATTGTTTTTAAACCCACAGGGTTTAAGAACGTTCAACTCCATTCATTTTTTTAACACTGAAGAATTTTTCTTTTGTAATAGTATTAAAATTTCGAAATAACAGGAAATTGAGAAATATTGGTTTTCAATTTTATTCTTTCGGCCTTGAAAATTATTTTTCCTAAAGGTCACTATTAAAATTATGTCAACCTGAACCTTCTTTTGTTTCTCTTATCATAATAGCTGTTCGTGTCGTGTCACAAAACTAAATTTTTTTCGTCATTTTCAATGTCACTGATTGAACTTTCTGTTTTATCTCGCATTTTATCTTCTTTCCACTTTGTCATGTTCCAAAAAAAGTTTTAAACGTTCAAATAAACGAAATTTATGTATTTCCTCTTCAAATTAAAACTTAATAATATTAATTTTCAGTCACGTATAAAAAAAATTAATTACCTATGAAGTTTTAAATTGTTAAATTTAAGTTTACAATCTTTATTGCAATCTGTGATTTATAAAAGTTTTTATTTATTTATATATGTATTTAATATAAAAATCATATAAAAAAATAAAATATAAAAAGTACGAAAATGTTTTAAAAAAATTTCAAATTTTCATCTCTGGACAATATTTTTTTAATTATTACCAAAAATAATTATAACAATACATTTAAAATTCAATTATTTTCGAAAAATTATATTACAATATTTAAAAAAAAAAATTGAACTGAAGTTTACAACGTCAAATCTGACTATTTTCCAAAAAACAATATTGAAAATCGTCAGGTTTGACGTTGTAAATTTCGGTTCAATTTAAAAAACCTAATTCTTAGAATTTTTTTATCATAATTTTTTAATATTCAATTGTATCTTCGAACAAAGTAAATTAAAATATTTAAAAATTTCTTGTTTTTATATTTTACAAATATTCACTTATTTTTAAAACATTTTACTGAATTTCAATTATTTTTAAAACATTTTACTAAATTTCAATTATTTTTAAAGAATTTACCAAATTTCAATATTGTTGTTATAGACAATTTTTCAATATTGATAAACTATTATCTTTCAAAAACTATTTAAAAATATATTTAAAAAAAAATTAATTTTAAAAATTTCTTTATTATAATTTTTTTAAAATATACTTTAATAACTTAAAAAAAGGACAGTTACACTTATTATAAAAAATTGAATTTTTGTATTCAAATATTTGAATCTTCTAAAAACTTTTGTAAAATTATTAAGAGGAGGGTTCAGTTACATTTTTAACGATATATTGAGAAAATGATTTAAATCTTCAAAAAAATTATTCTTTAATTGCAATTTCTTGAAACGAATTCAATGGTCAGGAAATATTTTGACCCTTTTTGAATTTTTATTTTTCTTAAAAATTGATAGATTTTAATATTCATCCGTAACTTTGTAGAAAATATGTTTTTGTATCTAGAAAATAGTTGCCAAATCAAAAAATTGATTTGTACTACATATTTTGGTCGCATTTTTTTAAATATTGTTTTTAGGTTGAAAATGTTAAAAAAAATACGATTGTTATTGAATTTGTTTTATATGAAAATTCATTTGTTTATTTTTCTAATTTTAAATCATGACGATTTTATTTAATTTTCTATTTTAAAAAATTATAATTTGAAATTATAATTAGAAAAATAAACAAATGAATTTCCATATAAAATAATTCGATAACAATCGTATTTTTTAGTATTTTTAACCTAAAAAGTAAAAAAAAGGGGGGGGGGTAAATTTAAAAAAAACGTTACTTTTTTTTGAACGTATTTTCAATCGATTAAAGCGACTTTTTTTGCTCATCTTTAGTCGATCCGAGGCCTAGTTTTCAAGTTTGCAGATTACGAATCATATGTTAGTTTTTAAAAATTCAAAATGGCGGATCCAATATGGCGAACAAATTTTTTAAAAGTTATTGAATTTTTAAAAAACTTAGTATCTAGGGATTTTTAGGGTCGCTGATTACGAATCTGTGGCAAAAATTTACAAATTCAAAGTGGAAGATTCAATATGGTGAACGAATTTTTAAAAAATTTAAATTTTAATCACTTTTTGATCTATGGGGTTAATTTTTTTTAAAAAAGCTTGTTTCACCTAAAACTTTTAAAAATTTACTTTTTATTTGCCGTGAAATACATTTTAATATATATACAGTACCGTCCGAAATTGTCAGTCCACCCATTTTCAAAGGAATGACAAAAATTTTTTAACATAAAATTCATAAAAAGTAAAATTTTTTTTGGTTTATATTTTAAAAGACAATAAAATTTTGAAAAGAATAAGACCTTACAGAAGTCATTTGGCCAAAATTTGTAGAAGATATTCTTAAAAATCGTCATTTTCAATGTTTTACAAAAATTTGAATAACTTCTAAAATAATGGACGCTTTTTAATAATCTTAGGCTTATTTTAAAGACCATTTTCTACAGAATAAGAATTACTTATAGGCATTAACCTGTAATTTTTAACTTGGAATAAGCATGACGTCAAAGTTGGACAAAAAAATTCAAAAAATTTGAAATAATATTATTAAAAGAAAAATAATTTTTGAAACTCAAACATATATTTTTATTGAATTTTCTTGAAAAATCTACACCATATCATGTTTTATATATGTTCTAGAATAGTTTTTAGTACAAAAAATTGATTTCAAATTTTTCCAACTTTTTTGTCTAATTTTGACGTCATGCTTATTCCAAGTTAAAAATGACAGGTTAATGCCTATAAGTAATTCTTATTCCGTAGAAAAAGACCTTTAAAATAAGCCTAAGATTATTAAAAAGCGTTCATTATTTTAGAAGTTATTTAAATTTTTGTAAAACATGGAAAATGACGATTTTTAGGAATATCTTCTACAAATTTTGGCCAAATGACTTCTGTAAGGTCTTATTCTTTTCAAAATTTTATCGTCTTTTAAAATATAAACCAAAAAAAATTTTAGTTTTCATGAATTTTATGATAAAAAATTTTTGTCATTCCTTTAAAAATGGGTGGACTGACAATTGCGGACGGTACTGTATATAATTTAAATGAAAATTTGAAAGGGACGGAATATAGATTTTAGGGACCCTCCTCTTTTGAAATATGAAAATATTTTGAAATTTTCGTAAATTCATGTACGTATTGAAAATGAAAGAATTTTCTAAAAATTTGGAATTATTGAAGAAATGTTTGTGAACTGTTATCAGCAAACGCTGAACTTAGAGAGGAGAGTTTAGATAGAGTTCACCTTGTCTGCTGAGAGTTTATATGACGTCATTTTGAAACCACGGGTTAGTGATTGAAGCGTGATGCTTAGGTTCGACACTACTATATATAAGTGGGTATTGTGGGGCAGGGGTTTGGGGTATGGTGGGTGAGTGGGTGGGGGGACGTAGGGGGATCGTCTCGACGCCGTGCTATTTTCATCTGGTCGCTACCGCTGTCCCAGTTTCGATACGACCATCACGCCGTGAACACTGTCTCTCACTCTTTCTGAACTGTTGAAAGAAATTCAAATTCCACACACGATTATTATTATTCTTTTTGTCCCTAGTAAATTGTTCGTTTCTCTTTTTTATAATTGACTCTTAATTTTTTATAAATTATCAAAAAAATTTAGATTTTAACAAATATACTCTTATATTAAAATAGTAATTTCAAATTTACAATTTTGAAAAGAAGTCAACTTTATTGACTTGGGAAATTTTGTAACGAATTTTTCCAAAATTGTTTTTTTCTGAAAATATAAACATTTTTTTTTTTAATGATCGACAAAACGATTCTAGTGGTTCGTCATTTATTTCCATCGAGTTCCACTGTTAATAAAAATAATTACCAGGAGAGAAGTTGAAATTGACGAGAGGCAAAATTGAGGGATTTCTGATATTCGTTTGTTGGGATATTTTGTTCTGCAGAGAAGAAGGGGTCAATTGACTGAAATTTATTTTGTGAGTGATAAAAGAAAGCGAGGGTGTAGTTTTTTGGAGATATTTGTAAGATGTGACTTGTTAAAACAGTGTTTTTTCCCCTTGGTAACAAGTGTCTCCACGTTTTGTGTAGTGTGAGTGTGGTTCATTTGTTGGCAAGTTTCATGACCTTGGCACGTGATTGACTCCTAAAATCGGTGCATAATCACATGAGATTGAGGTATTAATTGTTACGTCTATTTTTTTTTCTTTTTTAATGAGTTGCCAATTTTTATTAGAGTGTCGCATATTCTTCATTGTACGAGAGTTGCTTTATTTTTCCTTGAGGATGAACCGAATTTTTTTGTTTTGAAAATTAATTAATTATTTAAGTAATTAATAATTAATAAATAATTATTATTTATAATAAAAATTAATAATATAATAATAATATTTATGAGGTCTCTGAAGTTTTGTGTTTTTACAAAAAAAAAAAACAAATTATTTTGTAGGTATATTAAAAACATTAATTTTTAACTAAGTAAATGTTTTAATTGTTTTTAATTATTCTAAATTCTTATTGTTATTCTTTTTCTTTTTTAGATACTAATTTTTAAAAATATTGAAGCAGAAAAAAAATTTCTTACATTATTTATGATCCACAAGTTTTTTAACGTTCAAATGAACGAAATATTTTTCATTAAAAATATTTTCTAAAATTACTGATTGCAATAAAAATTAAAAAATTTAATTTTACATTTAGAAACATTTTTCAATTAATGTTTTTTTCGTGACTTAAAATTATTGTAATAAAATTTTAATTTTATGAGAAAATAAATAAATTTTGTTCAAACTTTCGGAGCTTCATTATTTTCTCAAAAGTTTTGAAGAAAATTGTTTTTTCTGTTTAAATATTTTTAAAAATTACTATAAAAAAAATAATAATAATTAAAATTAAATATTTACTTATTCAAGAATAAATTTTTTTGATAAACAAAATTTTTTTTATATAAAAAATACAAATTTAAAAAATTAAAACAATATTCGTCGTTCATTTGAACGTTTAAAACTTTAAGAAGATTGTTATTGTAAATAATAATAATAATAATAATAATAATAATAATAATAATTTAACAAACAAGATTTTTGACAATTTACCTAACAAATTTCTGTATTTCCCTCTGATATTGTTTATAGAAAAATTATTTCACGAAAGGTTTTATTTACAAAAAAAAACGTTGGTGAATATTGTTAAAAAATTATTTTTAGAAATGAATAGACGTAAATTCTTTGAATATTTTAATTAAATAAATAATTTCACAGTTTAGAAAACAAAGTGGCATTGAATGTGCTCCAAAATTTCATTACACTTCTCCATATTTTATTTACAAAAACATCTAATTAAAATTTATTTTAATTCCTTGTTATTTTCATTATTTTTGTAGTAGTTTCGTCGTTTCTCTACGAGCGTAATAATGATAATTTATATACTTATAAGTACTTTTTTAGTAATTCAAGTAATTTTTAAATAAAAGAAAAAGTAAAAAAAAATAAAATCGAAACTTTTAGAAATTGGCTTTAAATTACTGATTTTTAATTAAATTTTGTTTGAGAAAGAATTAAAAATGGTTATTAATAAAATAATAATTAGATGAAGAAAAAAAGCTGTAATTGAAGATAAATAATTTTTTTCTGGAGAAGGATATTTTTAACTTTGCCACTCAATATTTTTTTCTTTTTTTTTTACGAATTTTTAAGAAGTTTGGATTCGCTCCAAAAATTTTCGAGTAAACCTGTCTTTGTTTCCTTACACTTTAAAGTGTGTTTTTGATATTTTTATATTTCACTGTTTGAAACAATATTTTTGATTTATTATTTTTAATTTCTTTATTTTTGTGGTTCGTACACCTTTTGGTAAAAATAAATTTTTTTTATATTTCGAAAAATCGATAGTTGAGTGGTATTTGTTTTTTTGTTAAAATACCGTATTTCGGTCTTTTTTATTAAAAAATTATAATTATAATTAAATAAAAAATTTAAATTATTGTACAAAGTACAATTAATCAAATATTAAAATATAATTTTTACGAAATAAAATTCATTATTAATAATATTAATGTTAATATTAATTATTAATTTAATTATTGCGTACAAAGTATTGTTACAACATAGTTATTGTATAGTGCTTCACTGCTTCATAAAGAGAATGAGAAATCATAATTAAAGTATATAATTGTTAATAATAATAATTATTATTGCGAGTGTTGAAAATTCTATATTATGAACAGTAGCAATTGTACAAATAAATTAATGATGACAGAAAACAAAGTCGTATTTAGTTTCGCGCACAGAATCTTTATATAATGAACGCGTGATAAATAACCGTTGTCTAATAAACAAATGAATATTGCTCCTAATTAGAAGTGTAGTAATTAATCACCGAGCATAAAACATGTTTTATAATTATTATTATTATTACTGTAACTATACAGTCCTTGGTTGTTGTGAATATAGTGTAAATATTAATTTACCCATATCGTAAATTTTCGAAAAGAAGGAAAACGTGAGTGATTCGTTAAATATTATAAATATTTTACGATTGTATACAATGTCATTATCGGATGATAATCTTTGTCCTATTCTTATCTTTTCAAGTTTTATTCTTTATCATAAACTGAAATTTATGTAAAAAATGATTAATTAATATTTTTTTTCTTAATTAATAATACAGTTACTTAAAAATCAATTAAGTGAAAGGAAACGTTCTATTTTTAAATTTCAAAGAGTTTTTTGCGAGATAATGCGAAAGTATTTTTATTTTCGAAAGAATGATTGAATGGAAATTAATTGCATAAGGAAAAAATGTATATGGTTCGGACAAGCATTTTTCGTGTTGGATAGGTCGTATAAATTTCATTTCTGAAAAATCTGTTCATATACTTTTTAATAGCAAGAAACGTACAAAACAAACTTTTTTTGTATTTGTTAAGTTCTATAAAGTCCTTAAATTTAGAAATTAAGAATAAAAGGGACAGTGAACAAAATTTATTTGATTCAAATAACCGATTATACTTGTTTATTATCAAACTTTCTTTTGAATCAAATAATTTTTATATTTAAATCAATTATGGTATATTTGAATCAATAATTTCAGTTTTCAGCATTTGAAGCAAATATGTATTGAACTATTTAATTTATTTAATTAATTTAATTAAAAAATTTTTATTCAGGTAAATATTTAATTGATAGTGAAGTAATCGGTTATTTGAATCAAATAAATCTTTTTTTTCTGTGAAGTTATTTACAAATATTTTCAATCGTGAAAAGATAAAAATCTATAAATTATTATTCTAAAATAAATGATAGTAAAATTTCTTCGAAATAGATAAATATTTATCATATTATATATTAATAGATAATTGGATAAAATAATTATTAATCATTTTTGAAATATGCTGAATTCACATGTATTGAAGTATTAGAATTATTGTCCGAAATTACAAGCATTATCTTGAAATGCTCTGAATTGTAGTGAATCATTACCTGAATTTTCCAATAGCATTCGCCGACTATATCGAATTATTTGAAATCCAATTTTACATATTTTTGTATTTAAAAATTTTATGGCATCATTTTTTATAAAAAGAATAATTATTTTCTTTTATGGATAAAATTGACAATTTTTCCTGTAATTTTTTGGAAATAGGAGTTAATTGAGACTTTTTTCGATTTTTCTACCAAATATTGAAACGAAATCGCACATTTTTAGTATAAAATGCAACTTATATACAGGGGTTGTCACAGGTAGCAGGGAATTCAGGGAAAAGTCAGGGATTTTTATTTAAAGTACTGGAAAAAATTAAATGTTTAGAATTTTTGTGTTTTTTTGTTTAACAATTTTTTCTATTTCTAACAATAATTTATTTTAAATAACTTAATTCTATTGAAGAAATGCCATCAAGTTATTACTTCCTACAAATTATTTAATGAAGTACTTTTTTGAAAAATTTTAATTCTGTTGAAATTAGTTTCAATTTTGAAAATTTTTAAATTCTTCGATAAAATTCAATTATATTCAGGAATTTTTATAAAATTTATTAAAAATTCAATTATTTTCATAAATAACAATATTCATCACAAGAATTTAATTATTTACAAAATTAATAAAATTTAGTAAATCTTCGCAGAAATTTAATTTTTTTCAAAAACTTTTCTTAATTCAGTGACTTTCAATATTCTACTATTTTAATAAAATTTCCCAAAAGAATTCAATTATTATTTAAAAACAATTTTGACAAAATTCTACACGAATATTCAATTATTTTCTAAAATACTGAAAATTTCACAGGAATTCGATTATTAAAAATAGAATTTGCATAAATTTTTTCGAATAAAGTCAATTGTTTGAAACTTTTTTATAAAATTCTTCGCAATAATTCAATTATTTTGATATAAATAATAAAACTCATTGCAGAATTTCGAAAAATGTAATTATTCTTAACAATTTTATTAAAATTCGTCGAAAGAATTCAATTTTAAGAAACATTCAATTATTAAAGAAATTATTTATTTTTGCATTTAAATAATAATTGAATTCTCGTAAAATGTTCCAATAAAAATTGATTTAAAAATTAATCTCAGTTAGTTTTAGATAATAATTGGATTTTGGAGAAGTTACTAATAATTGCAATTTTTAGAAATAATTGAATTGAAATAATAAAAATAATTTAGAAGAATTTTCAGTAACAATATTCTTATGTTATGTACAATATTAAATGATTTTACCATTCGGTCACCTTTAATTAATTATAAAACACGAAGAAAGCGATATTCTTGAAAGTTGTTGAATTTGAAATTTTTAAAAATCTTAATTTCTATAGAAAAATAATAATGATTGAGTATTTATTTAAAAAAGAAATTATTGATGTTTTCGAATAATTTTACACTTGAAGAAATTCGCAAGTAAATGCAATATAAATTTTTTTTGAGTATTTTTAGAGTGAATCAGAATATTCTTCAGAGTCAGGAAAAAAGTCCAAAATTTTGTCGGGAAATCAAGAAAAAGCAAAATTAAATGTTTTTTTATATTTCGATTTAGATTTAGAAATGAATTTTAATTAAAAATTGTAGAAAATAATTGAAGAGGAATAATTTGAAGAGTTATATTTGTAATTTTTAGAAATTATTAAAGTTCAAAAGGTTTAGAATTGAATTTTTTTAAATTTCACTTCCCGTGGAAAA